GGGATCCATGGATCAGATAATGGGCAGTGAGCAAAATTGGTTACAATAGTCTAGATCACTGGTTCCTAACCTTTACTGTGGCCTGCAGTCCTTTGGTTCTTAAAATCTGTTCTCACACCCTGTATCAAACATCACTGTAGCAGGTCAGTTTGTTTAAACATAAAATCCATCATAACCGTAGAATGAAATAATAATTTATTTACATTTTGTAGTAAAAATAAGAACGCATGAAAAACTGCACACTTTATTGCTAGTAGTTGTACTTACGTGCCTGTGCTTAATTTGTGTCTTCGATGATTTACCTTCTAAAAATAAATAGGGCAGGGACAAAGTGCTTTTGCTAAATGGGCTTCAGCTGTGTAAAACTAGGTGAAAAAAGATATGTGCAAATACATTTATGAAAACTTACATCTGGATATGGGCAGCATTTATATCCAGTATCTGAATAGCAGCAGGTTGATGAATCTGGACAGCTGCTCCCATCTGGACAAATGTTAGAACTGGAGGCCAGTCCCACCACCAGAAACAGTATTGCAGTTTTCAGCATCTGCATGAAAAGAAATGATGTGAAGTTAACTGATTAAAAAAAAACATTCTTAATTGCTTGCAATTATTTTTTGGTGCTGACGTTTTGTGGAACAGTCTATTCATAAATATAATAAACAAGTGAACTTCAACCCTGTTTCTTTTTGGAAAGCAGCTCATATCCTCCATGGGTTTGCTGGAGACAGGAAATAATCAAACCGAGCTGCCGAGGCAAAGATCTGTAGCCCAGTGTGGACAGGAAAGAGCTTCCTGACCTCAAGAGGCACCCCTCCCTCCTCGACATCATAAGTTTCAGGATTTTTATCAGTGGGATTACTTCTGTACTTCTGCACTACAGGTGTGACTGGTTTTGAATCAGACTGTATAAACTAGTTACTTATGACTATATAATGCACTGAGTATTTTGCATTCTGTATATCTGAGCATTGACTAACAGTCCACACATTTGCAGCTCAAGTAGATTTAGACATAATGCACTTGTTACACAACAATCACCAAATTTTTCTCCAAAACACACAATAAATACAATGACAAGATTATGATATACGTATAATAATCACTGTCACTTACCTTGTTCTTGCATCAACGTCTAGTGAAGCCTCTGCCTTGATTAGATTAGTTTCCTGTGTAGACTCCTATATATACAACTCAGAAAGTGTTCACTTCCTCAATCAAGAAAGAAAACGACCCTCAGTGTGCTTGCGCATCAGAAGAGGAGGGAACGTTCCTCATGTTGCAGTTCAAGTTATCTGTGCACTTTCATTTTTGCGAATGCAAAACACAGCCATAGAACATAAATTGCTTCACGGCTATTTCATAATTTTACCCACAGTCAACAATCTTAGCCATTAAGGCGAGTCCTTAAACCTAAACAAAAGAGGAAGAAGATTTAAGATGATTACGAAAGTACAGTCTGAACACTTTGTGAAAAAGAAATATGATCAGTTTCAGTATTTGCAATGTACAGTATAGTGTTTAAAAAGTGGCCTGAAGTTAACATACGTATGGTGTGATTAATCAGCATCTTCCTGTGTATAATGTGTTAGCATTAAATATCCAGGAGCTTGAGTTTTGATCCCTGGTAATGTGTCCAGTAGGTGCAAGGGTCACTCTGCTGACCGATCACATCTTACTGGAATGAAAACGTTTTCAGAACGTTTTTTTAAGAAATAAGGGCACACAAAGTCATAAAGGCTAAAACCGTTTCCAGATGGATTTAATGTCATAACAGTGTCTGCTATCAACCCAGAAAAAGACAGGCAGCAATCGCATCCTCCTGACAAATCGAAGAGCAACCGTTAAAAAAGCATCATACCAAGTGATGTTAAATGCCACAATGTGATCATATTCTAAATTATTATAAATGACTGAATCTAACCACATTTCCTTCATCCTCTTTTCCAGCAACACAGAAGAGAAATTAAATCATAATTAAGATAATTAGGAAGACTCTTAAAAGAGTAGTAACTAATACCTCAGTGTTTTGTTTAGAATAGTCACATTGAATAGCCTTTGCTCTCTTTTTAGCTAGTGGAGCTTTGGATTGTGGGAGAAAATTGGGATAACTGAAGAAAAACCACTTGAATGCAGGGAGAAAGTAAAGATTCCATATAGCAGCACAGTTCCGCTCCAAAATTGAACCCAAAACCTATGGCACTGTGCTGGCCAACAAACCAGTCTGAATGTGCATATGAAAATGTGCACTTCAGCCTGTGTGTTTCAAGGAGCTCAACACATTCACATTGGAATCTTTTTTCAGACTTAATTAAGTTTTTTACCTTCATTTCCGCACCAGCAATCCACTGGTAGCAGCAATTTCCTTTATTTTCTTGAATCTTAAATTGTTTTTTTTCCCCCTTGAATGTAAAAGCCCATAGAAAAAATAAAAATGTGTCATATTTACTTTCAGTTATATTCAACTATTATATGACATTACTGTAGTCTCAAAATGTTTTTTACACGTTTTGCAACAAAATAGTCACGACAATTTTTACCATTTCTTCAATAATTGTTGTTTTATATTGCCTTGTATTAAAAATATAGTATCTCCACGTTTACAGGTTAAGATGGAGATACTGCTGTATATTTTGGGAGACGTATTTAGTTGCAAAACTACAACTACTCCGGTTTCTACTTTATCAATCTTGTACCCCATTTACTATGTCAGTGTACTTAATGTAAAACCCTTAGACACTGAAAAACAGAATTTCACCTTCTCCAGTCTGACTATTTATAGAAGTTTAAACTAGGCTTTCCAGTTTGAAACACACAGACTGAGAGATAATAAAATCACATTAAGGTATTAAAGTCAGGAGAGAATGTGGAGAATGAGCAAATTGTAAACACCCGCCAAGCTCCAACCCTTCCTAAACTAAAAGAAAAGCAGCAAACTACAAAGCCGAGGAAATGTTTGTGAACCTCCGGGGTTGGTCTGTATTTTTGAATACTTTATAGAGACCTAAAAGATATTAAAACCTTCATTAAAATCAAAGTAAATGTTTAACATTACTTTGTGTATAATAAAGACTTATTTCAAAATAATCCGACAATACCCTTATGTGAATACGTAGGGGAACCCTCACTATAAACTACAACAGGAAATCACAGGTGAGACCTAGGGACACGAACTAGCTCAGGTGAAGGTACAGTACGAAAATTTCAGAGGACCACTGCAGTGTTTTCAGTGCCAGTGCAAACGCAGAGCCATCTAGCGGCTGCTGGAGAGACAGGGCCTCAGTGCGTCAGTACTCGAGGCAGGTAACTGTCTCAAAATGTTTTGGGCTGGCGTCCAACTAAGACACTACTGTGAATCAATCTTCAAAACGTTCTGTAGCAGTATGGCAATGTATACAGAGTAGACTTACTGTAGAAAGCCTCAAACTGCACAACTGGGTATGGTAGTTGATGGAAAAACACCATTAGCTCCAGCAAAATTGTGTTTTACAAATATGGCTGCAGAACGTAAAGGTATGGCCACAAAATGTCTTAAAACTGCCCCCCCCCTCCCGACACACATTGAACATGGAGTTGAACATGGAGTAAAGCAGAGAACCTGCTTGTAAAGAATACAGATTGGAAATGTGAACACAACCGCACTGTATCACACATGTGAAGGTACTTTGTCTTTTTCTCCCTTTTAATGACATTTCATTTGCCTTACTGCTGCCGGTTCACTTTAATAACTTAATTTCAGAGAATTCGTAAAAGGTCTTTCAATATGTGCCCAGCTTAGACAGATGTACTGTAAAGAGGCATGTATTGGAATGTAATGTGTACTGGAAGCAAATCTGTTGCGTCTCTGAAGGCTCTCATCACAATTGTGACACTGTGATGTTATCACAGTATTAAACAATACAGTCTAACAAGGTATATTTCCTTAATTAAATGCAGAGGGAGTCAACTTCAAAATTACAATACATTGTTCAAAGTGCACAAACTTCACTAGTTTAAAATCCAGGTGATTACATTTCAATTTAATTGTTTTTTTTTTAAATACAATTAGCATGCACTTTATTAGCAAGTGGACATTGTTAGCATTGGTTTATGCTTCAGTCATATATTAATTCCTTATGCAATGATGCAGCTTCCTTTCGAAATCCAGAATATTTTGACATTCTCTTTGTTCCAGCAAACTGGTGAAACCACTGCTCTGCTTTGTTTTCAAAACTCCTTTCTACATTGGCTAACAGGAAGAAACGTTTGCACATTTTAACTCTATCATTGTTTACAATATATTATGATTACCACAAGAACAACATAAATCAGGCACCACAACCAGTAAGAACTCAAATACCGCTTTTATTTTTAATGATGTGACCCATACATTAATTAGAAATCAACATTACTTATTAAAGATAGTAAAATGCCCAAATACTTGCTGTTTGCGATTGTGACACACTGCTGCGTTCATACGACACATAGCATAAAATGCATTGAGGTGAATTTATGGTGACTAGGTCACTATAACACAAATCAAGTGAAAATCAACTACTGAAAATGTAGTGCACATTACTCAGGCAAATCAACCAAAGGAACCGATGGAGCAGAGTTTGTTCAGTAAAGGTCCTCAAAAATACAGGAACAGGTGTTTACTTATACACGTAGCTAGGAGATCTGCAGCGTGACAATGCTGATTACAGTGAGCTTGCTGTGCTTTAGAGGTTTAGGTTGAAGAAGTGGTTATTGAATGGACATAGGGGCTGCACATACAGTACATGAACCCTTGATTAAAGGGAAGCTAAAGTACATGTAAGCATGACTGCTAGGAATCAAGGCTCAAGGGGCTGAACCTGAGCAGGAATGTAGGTCACAGTCAGATGGAATAAATCTGCTAACTCTACAGTTCAGAACTATCTTCTGAACAGTATAAGCAGTAAATATTAAATATAACTAAAAAGAATGCATCTAACAATTTTCAAATTCATTGTGGTATACTGTACATATATAAAAATGAACATATTAAAATTTAAAGCAAATGTATTAAATACTATGACTGCAATTAAACAAGACTGAAAAGTTCCATTTCATTCTTTTCCTAACATTGTACCATATATGAGTAAGTCTTAAATTAGTGCCAAGTTGAATTGTGCTTTCCATTTGCGATACCAGCCTAAATATAAATGCTGTTAAAAAAGCTAGCTTAAAACATGACTTAGAGACAAGACGATACTTGAAATCAGGCTGTCAGATTTTTTAACATAGAAAAAACATGTTCAGCCTTTTTTTACTATGTGAAATATTTTATTCTGGATTTCCTTATTTCAAAAATTGTACATAGACACAAAGGCAAAGAACATGTAAAATGGCATTATTGATCCAGTACAGTTTAGGAAACATTTTGATGCTTTGTGTAATTAAAGTATATGTCTTCAATGACAAAAATTCACATTAAACACTGAGGGAGAACTAAATTCAATCCGTAAAATTACAAACAGAATATACTAATAAGCTAAAATGTAATATAAATCAGGAACGATCATCCTGTTGAAAATCTGCTATCACATCATCAAAAAAATATAAAAAAAGTTTTCCCTAAATATGAAATCAGTCAAATATTTCAACCCCAACTTCAATATGAAGTTGGTAACAAAAAAATGCAACGATAGGAGTATAAGTATAATTGTGACAAAAGCATACAACAGATTGTTGCATTTCTTGCCATCTGAACAACAAACCTACCAAAAGTGGCCCTTTAGTATGTGATAAAACTATCTGAAGACTAAATGACACAGTAATAGGCCAGCATATCAAAGTGTTACTACCAGCAAAAGCTCTGCATTCATTAAGCCCTTCCAACTCACCTTGCTTTGGAAAACACAGGAGCTGACTGTCATTTTCGAAAGAGGTAATCTGTACCTTTATTGCCACATCGCTTGAGTGAAAAAACAACCCTATTCTATGGTCTACTGTTTCTTTTACCTTTACCAGACAGATAGAGAAAAGATATGCATTTTACATATGTTTTAAATTAAATAAGCTGCTCTTTTCTGAATACCCAGAGGCTCCAGAGTAAGATCGAGACCTTTACAGCTCCTGGCTGTCAGAGGCAGATTTCCCATCAGCTTCCTGCAGTTTTGTTTCCAACAGTGTCACCTAGCACAAGAATGTCCACCAGCGTAAAGTCTCCCAGGACAGCGAATCTGTCCAAAAAACTAGCTTTTATGAGACCATAAGGGTCTTTTATAAAGTCGTGCAGTTTTTTTTTTTTGGTAGTCTGATAAGTGTCTTTACTGCAGTTTTGATTTTAGCAACTAAAATTTGTGGACCGCCATAGTCGAGTCCGAATCACAGCTGGAGCCTGAGGTCTTCTTCTTTTTCCTTCCATGTTTCTTATGCTTCTTTTTCTTTTTCTTCTTCGATTTGTCCTATTTTTATTTAAAAAGAAAGAACAAATGACCAATTACAACCAATGAGAACAGTCAAAATTAACGGGGGCCCACAGGTTAATAACTTCAGAACTGACCGCTGTCACTGACATTGGTCATTTCTGTAGAGTACTTTACCACCTTTCCGGTGGAAATATTAAAATAAAACATCTCATAAATGTCTGTCTATAAAAAGAAAGAAGTCTAGTTTATTCTGGAAAAATATAAGGGCAAGACTTGAACAGGGAAAACGCACGGTATTGATACTTTCAATGATTCACATGAAAAGTGAAAGATAGAGAACTTAAGATATTAAAACTGGAATAAAAACCCCATTTGAGCCAAGATAGAACAGTGACCCACCATCACCTTCTCTTTCTCTTCACTACTTCTCTTTTTCTTCTTCAGCTCCACCTTCATATCACAGCTTACACTGTTGCTCTGCCAAAACATTCAGATTTTACCTTGTTATGGGTCAGTAGTTATTTGTAAAAACATACAAACAAAAAATACTATTCCTTTTTATCTTTCTAAATGAGCAATTTATGCTTTACAGTTCCATAAGTATAATTGACAACCGGTGACCTTTTTATTTTTAAAACTTACAATTTACTTGGTAATAACTGATCATTTACTTTTATACCAAACAATTGCAATGCAGCATGCGTTGTAATTAGGGTTCATGCTAACGTTGCAATTTTTTAAACTTGCAAAAGTTCCCAACATGCTGTCGGATAGGAGTGTCTAAGTGATTATTTGGCAGAGCACCAAATAAGTTATTAATATTAATAACTTGTTGAAAAAGAAACACATTTAAGTTATCTGGTCATGTTAAGCAGGTCTTAAAAATCAGTGCAACCTAGTTCTTAGTTTTGCTTTCTTTCAAAAAGATCACCTGTCTCCTTTAAAAGTTTTATTCATCTAAGAGATTTTCAACTACCAACAGAATCTACACTCTAGGCGTTAACAAACAGGAAAAACAAAAATTGATGATGATGAGTAAATACTGTACATGGAAAAGTTCGCTGAGTACTCAAGATTGCTCTTTTAATGTATAAGCACCAGCCATGCACAGACCCAAGGATCAACATCTAGTTTACCAGAATACAAGATTTAGGAACCACATTTAAAAATTCTTTTTTCTTCATAGGAACAATTATGTTAGAAAAAACACACTGAAAATTAAATGATTCATGCTACCACTATGTGACTACAGATTTTTTTTTAAATGATTAACTTAGTGAAAACTACTATGCTCCAAACTGAAATGCACTTTTAGCACTCTTAGTTTAGCTTAAATGTTCTCTCATGTGTACGCACAATCTATGCTTCAGAAGATGGCGAAACAACTCCACCATTAGCATGGTTCTTAGATGTAACATTTATGTACAACTTATAAGAGATGTTTACAGAGCCCTCAAGAGGAACATAAAGGTTACAAATGGACATGTGCCTAATCTGGCCTGTAGAGTAGTAGGTCATTGATTCAAGAATCTCATCCAGCTGTTTCTTTAAGGAAACCAGGGTATCGACTTCAATAACATGGCTGGTTTATCAGAATATGGAAGTACAACTTGTGTCCTCTGGTTCATCTACTGCTGAATAGTTGTAGAGTAGTACTGTGGACTAGCTAGTAATCTCTCAGGCTTTAACCCACTCACTTCGTCCTCTGTATCCAGGTCAGCTGATGATTCAGATGACGAGCCCTTGTGACCATGCTCACCCTTCTTCTTCTTTCTGCTTCCTCTGTCAGCCTGTCGTTGACGGAGTGGGAGGATAAACTCATCAGCACCGGACAATGTCACATACCGAAAACCTAAGGCGGCATGTTTCCATTCCAACATTTCAAAACAAGAAAAAGAAATACATTTTTAATTCATTTTCAGTATCAACTTTTAAAGCCAAACTCCGTCACCAAATTTGTAGTGACAAGGCATATCAGTACACTAAAAGTGAAATGTTATTCAAATAAAAATGTTTTTAAAAAATCTAAATTCCTTGGAGAGATGTCATTCGCAGACATTAAGCAAAAGCTCCCCTCTCGCTCTGGGCCTGGGGGATTCCAGAACGTTGGAACCTCAAAACTGATCAAGAAACTGATCTTTGACTATAAAACATCTATATTCACATCTTAACTTGTTGGCCATTAAATTACTAATCCAAACACAACTGATAAAAGTTTAGTTCACTATAGCAAGCGCTTATTTACTTGTCTTTGAGAATATGAATGTGATTTATTTATATTAGACCGATATGACCTGTGTTACATGTTAGAATTGAATATTTTATATTCTAAACCTATTATATTAAATCTATAATAAAAATGCAAATTGTTGCATTTATTCGATTCCTAACGGCCATCAAAGCACCCTTGCAATTTACCGTTACAATTTCTCGTCATTTCAGTAAATTAAATATGCTTACTTCACTATAAATGGTAAGAATGGATAGAAATGAGGTGTTCGTTTGGTCCACCTAGCTCGTTAAGTAGTTAGCAGCTGACTGATCCAAAAAAGAACTGATTCAGCTGTTTTTTTGAAGGAAGCAGGTTGTCGGCTTCAACAACATGGACGGTACTTTGTTCCATACGTCAACAGGTTAAGACCAAAGTCAGTACTTCTATCCTCATCTGCTGTGATCCCCAATTCCATAATAACTACATACAATGATAAGTCACGTTCTGACTGCTTTGTCTAAATATGAGGACTTTCTGTAAAGCTGTTTGCCAGCAAAATAAATCACTATTTTGGAGGACTAAAATGCTCCAGTGAGTTTTTCTCTGAAATCTGTAAACTTCTTTATGATAAATACATTAATTTAAATTTAGTTGCTGCGATGGACTGTCCAATCTGAGCTACAATGCTTATTGATGATTTAATCTATTTTAACTTTGTCACAAATACTGTACTTCAAGAGTACCGTTTCAGACATTTTTATCTTAAGAGAACCTTACACCCGTTCCGATTCATTTAATCCTTGAATGACAACATGACAAACATGAATGACAAACATATTAGTGTTAGCTGTGTTGCAAGAGCATTTACCTTATCTTTTTCAGTGTCTTCCCTGGATTTCTTTTTTTTCTTTTTCAAGGACTCCTAGGAAAGGTTACACATTAACATTATGTTAATCAAAAATAATTTCATTGTAATTTATTATACAGATCTTGCCAATTTAAAAGCATTTTGCTCCTGTGTTTTCTGGATTTTCAGGATATATGGTTGATAGATGTAATACTTTATAAAATAATCCTAAAATTGTGTGTAGAGGTGGCTCACAAGATAAAAGGTGGCTCACAGGTGGCTCACAAGATAACCTTCAATGAAACATGAGCTCATCTGCTATTAACATGAGAAGTTAAATGGTAAGTGCATTTCATGGCTCTGTTAGAGGAAAGCTATGGGACTACACTTGTTATTCATTTGCTTAACAGATGCTCTCAAACATAGCAACTTAGACCGAAAGAATACAGCACAGGTTAACCAACAAGTATGTCAGCACAATTTAAATACACGTCAAAATG